GCCCCTTCAGGTGTGTCCCAGGTAGACGCAGTCGAGCCTGCTGAGGTAGCTGGTGACTCTGGTGCTGCTGGGGGTGCTGAGCCTGGGGGTGCTGACTCTGGGGGTGCTGAGCGTGTGGGTGCTACGCCTGGGGGTGCTGAGCCTGGGGGTGCTGTTTCTGGGGGTACTACGCCTGGGGGTGCTGCGCCTGGGGGTGCTGAGTCTGGGGGTGCTAAGCCTGGGGGTGCTACGACTGGGGGTGCTGAGCCTGGGGGTGCTCAGCCTGGAGTTGCAGAGCCTGCAGGAGCTGGGCCTACTCGTGTGGCGTCTGGCGGTGCTGGGCCTGGAGGTTCTCCGGGTGCTCCGTCTCGACGGGAGCCACTCTCTCCACAGGAGGTGCGTGAGTGGTTTGCCCGGCGCTGGAGGCGTGCTGCTGGAGCTGGAGGTTCTTCGGCTGCTGAGGGTGCTGGTACCACGGGTCCTGGAGGTGCTCGTACTGGGAGTACTGGAGCTGCTGGGCCTGCGGGTACTACTGGAGCTGGGGCCACTGCGTCTTCTCGTGGTCCGACTGGAGCTGGAGCTGCTGAGGGTGTTGGCGCTGAGGGTACTGCTGGCGGTACTGGAGGCGGTCCTGCAGGGGGTGCTACTGGTGCGGCTGGAGGTCCTGGAGCTAGTGGAGCTGCTGGGGGTGCTGGAGCTGGCGGTGCTGTTGGCTCTGGTGCTGCCACTGGGGGTACTGGTGCTGTCCCTGCTGTGTCTGGAGTCGCTGCGCGGCCTCGGCCGTACTTCGTTCCGCTCCTTGAGCAGGTTCTTGGTCTCCCGCCTTCTACTGGTCCTCCTCCTCCCTTAGAGTGTCCACAGCCTGTTCCGTCGCAGTTACAGTTACAGCCGGCCTCCCCACTGCCTGCTCCTTCTCCCTACACTGGTCCTACTGGAGGTCTTGCTGAGCGTCGTGCGCCTGCGTCTCGCCCTGTGTCGCCTGTCCGTGCTGCTCGCGCTAGTGGTCGTGGTTCGCGTCAGCGTCCTCCTCCTGTCCCTGGCACGCACCGGATGTCTCTGCGTCCGTCCACTGCTCCTCTGCGTGACCCTTTGCCTTCTCCTCCTGAGTCCTCTCTTCCTGCTCTTGCCGACCCGGAGTCGAACTCTCTTCGTGCTGCCAGTCCGACTGTCACGCGTCTCCTTGCTACTGTTGTCACTGACCCTTCCTTTGAGTCCACTGCTGCATCTGCCCTAGTTGCTGAGCTCGTCGACTTTGCTGCTCGCTGTCGTCTAGACTATGCTGCTAGTCTTGTTGCTGAGTCTGAGTCTGTCTGTCCTCCGTCCGTCGGGGGTGAGTGTGCCCTTGGCACGGACGTCCTTGAGGATAGGCAGGAGGAGTTCCAGTGTTTGGCTGCTGCTTCACCTCATCTCGTGTCCGTACTGCTTACCCCTGAGGGAGACCCGGATGCACTTGACATCCCGACTCCGCGCTCTTACGTGGAGGCGATAGAGGGTCCCTACTCCTCTCAGTGGCAGGCAGCTATGGACGCAGAGATGGCTTCCTGGAAGTCCACAGGCACCTACGTTGACGAGGTTCCCCCGCCTGGGGCGAACATCGTCAGTGGCATGTGGATTTTCAGGGTGAAGCGGCCGCCGGGTTCTCCGCCTGTCTTCAAGGCGCGTTACGTGGCTCGTGGCTTCAGTCAGCGGCAGGGAGTTGACTAGTTTCAGACCTTCTCTCCCACCCCGAAGATGACCACTCTTCGGGTACTGCTGCACGTAGCTGCTCACCGTGACTACGAGCTGCACTCTCTTGACTTCAGCACTGCTTTCTTGCAGGGCAGCCTGCACGAGGAGATCTGGCTGCGCCGCCCACTTGGCTTCACTGGGACTTTTCCTCCTGGCACCCAGTGGAGCCTCCGGCGGCCAGTCTACGGTCTCCGCCAGGCACCGCGTGAGTGGCACGACACACTGAGGACTACACTTGCGGCTCTTGGGTTTGCTCCCTCTACTGCCGACCCGTCGCTGTTTCTGCGCACCGACACTTCTTTGCCGCCGTTCTACATCCTCGTGTACGTCGACGACTTGGTCTTTGCCACAGCTGACACTGCTGGACTCGCCCACGTGAAGTCCGAGCTGCAGAAGAGACACACGTGCACGGACCTGGGTGAACTGCGCAGCTACCTTGGCTTGCATATCACCCGGGACAGAGCACAGCGCACCATTACCCTGACTCAGTCACACATGGTGCAGCAGGTCCTTCAGCGCTTCGGCTTCACGTACTCCTCGCCTCAGGCCACTCCTCTGCCTACTCGCCACTCGCTCTCAGCTCTGCCTTCGGATGAGTCCGTAGAGTCGAGTGGCCCGTACCCAGAGCTTGTTGGCTGCCTCATGTACCTGATGACCTGCACACGACCTGACCTTGCATACCCTCTTAGCATTCTCGCACGCTATGTTGCTCCTGGGAGACACAGACCGGAGCACATGGCTGCAGCGAAGAGGGTGTTGCGCTACTTGTGCAGTACGTCGGGCATGGGGCTTGTGCTTGGAGGGCAGAGTCCAGTGGTCCTCACTGGGCACGCAGACGCTTCTTGGGCTGACGACCAGGCTACGCAGCGGTCGTCACAGGGTTACACCTTCAGCCTTGGTTCCGGCTCTGTTTCGTGGCGGGCTACTCGCTCGTCTTCTGTTCTCGGCTCCAGTTGTGAGGCTGAGATCTATGCAGGGGCCATGGCTGCACAGGAGCTTCGCTGGCTCACCTACCTGCTGACTGACCTCGGAGAGCCGCCTCGTTCTCCTCCAGTGCTGTACGTAGACAACAAGGCCATGCTGGCCTTGTGTCGGGAGCAGAGACTGGAGCACAGAACGAAGCACATTGCTCTTCGCTACTTCTTAGCTCGTGAGCTACAGCAGCGTGGTCAGCTGCGACTTGCGTACGTGGCCTCTCAGGCCAACACTGCTGATATCTTCACCAAGGCACTCGCGCCTTGTGATCATCAGCGCTTCTGTACTCAGCTGGGCCTTGTGCCTACCTTGCCTCACTTGCTCACTTCTTGACCTTGTTTGTACTGTTACATATATATATACCTGCTCTTGCTTGTTTAGCCTTATATATATGTAATCTTGCATGTGAACTGGCCTTGTGGCCTTGAACTTGTGCTCAGAATGTGTGGTGACGTTGTGATCCACCCTGAGCTTGCTTTGCCTTGCTTTGCTTGACTGGTCTTGTGACCCCTTGCTCTCCCCCCACTTTGCCTATGGGGGTGTGTCAAACTCATACACTATAGTCTGTGTAGGCTGTAGTGGGGTAGATAATATGGGGTACAACACTTTAGGGTTTGGTACTTGTACTTCTCATGCTGCTCAGTTCAATCATTCCTCGTTTCATTCTCACATTTCCGAATGTCGTAATTTTCGGGAGTGGCAGTGCGAAGGATTCCCGAGCCGCTCTCATACCATGCTGCGATCAGAAGTTGATCGTGGCCTAGGATCTACTCAGGAAGGTTCGCACGCAGAGAAGTGATGTTGGTGGGCCCTTGACCTCAATAGCAGAGTGAATGTAAAATGCTTTGAGATGATTTAAAACATGCAAATACAGCAAATATAAATATGAGTACAGGGGAGATGAAACGACCTAGCTAGCCATGTACTCTAAGGGGTACATTCCCTTATTCAAATACATTCCCAACCGTGCGGCTCGAACAGTTACGAAACTGTCCAGATGCGTCCCAACTGTCTGACGCTTCGAGTCGATTCCAACCGTCTGACGCTTCGCGTTCATTCGCGATACTGCGTGCTTCTCTTTGCTGCGGTGAGGAGTGCACAGTAATATTCAAGTATTACTATTCGTAACAACTTGGTATGTAGGCGGCCAACCACAGAACCTACAGTGCGTTTTCGCCATGATTTAGCCCATGAGCGATAATGATTGCTTAAATTCCTCGCTAAGCAAAGTAACTTGATGAGTACAGGAATAGCAATCAACATAACATTGAATCACAACACTGACTGTTCAGCCTTTATTGTTTTTGTACACTGAAAAATCAGTGTTTTCAACACGACGACACTGAAAATCAGCGTTGGCCACCAAGGGACACTGAGCGATCAGCGTGCCCCAAAACGAATCTGAGGGCCTGCCTGCTGTGTGCTTTCATAATACAACCCATTGGTATAAAAATGAGAAATTTTTTGTAACAATTTTTTTTTTTACAGATTGTAGTTCGACTTGAAGAGGGGTTTGCTGTAAAGGAGATCTTCTCCTTTACCTTTCGGCAGGTCCTCGGGACTGCACTGCACACTCCTCTGAAAGTCGTGTCACAATCCTTTCAGTTGCAAGGTTTCTCTTGCTCCTATCATAAAACCAAGGCTTCCGCTACGATGGCATGCCTTTCTAGCACTTTTGACGAGTGGTCCACCCAGTTATTCGTTTATCTCACCAAGCGCGTTTCGGTCGGAGGTGCTTGTCCTTTTCGCCCGGTGCTTTTAACGTCTGCGAGTCACATTTCCCAGCGTATTGCCGTCCCTTGCTCCCAAAATGTGGCTATAAGTACGTTTTTGCAACTGTAGGCTGGCCTGACCTAATGACTAATAAATTTGACCTCGTCTTTAGCGCGAATGCGTGTAACTGTAGTGTTCTGCCACCAATTTTCTTCAACGTTTAGCAATTCAATGCTGAACTGATCACGCGTGTGAATCGATTCTGTGACATAAACGCATCGCTCCCAACCTTCTATGTGAACGTACCGAGCCGGTGGCACAATCTCAGGTGCATCAAACGAATAAGTGGGTGTACAGTACATGTCTATCCCAGCCGCAACCGCTTTGGCATTAGGAGAAAACTCAAGAGGTCATGAACAGCGCTGAAATTTTAACTAGATGTAATATCCATGGTTCTACGATATCAGCAGATGCATGACAGAAAAGATCCACACCACAATCCCGTCAAGATAAATGATTCCCCACTCATGGCGGCTATTACTGAATGACAGGGCTGCAAATGCAGGAAAAGAGGATAAACCTAGATCCTTAAGTCACAACACTAATCAAGCATCTGCCTTCTCTTCGGTAGCCTCGTCCTGCATCAATGAATCACAATTTTTTCAAGAGCATGAAACAGAGCAAACCAACCAAACTGGATACAATGACGGCAAGACAAAACGTGCACGCCAATTCCGAGCAATACCATACTTTTGGCTACGCAAATGTACTCATCATTTACGCACCTGCATATCAGAAGTCCAGAGTGTAAGGTTGTCCCGCAGCAGCTGCATGATCAGCGTGCTATCCTTGTATGAGTCCTCCCCCAATGTGTCGAGTTCAGCAATAGCCTCGTCGAACGCCTGTAAAGGAGGGTCAACGCGGGCATCAGAGAGGCTAATGTTACACAAATAACCAGAGTGAGCAGGAGAGGAAGACGGAAGGGGAGACGTAGAGGAACGACCATCATCTACACCTCCATCGAAAGGGACAAACAAAATGCACAAAGAGAAAGTTACGAATACGACAAACTCTAACCTGCTTGGCAAGAGTGCAAGCGCGCTCGGGAGAGTTCAAAATCTCGTAGTAGAAGACGGAGAAGTTGAGAGCAAGGCCAAGACGGATCGGGTGAGTGGAAGCGAGGTCAGCATTGGCAATGTCCTGCAAAACGAGAAGAGAGAAAAACGAAACATAAAATAACGTAATACGGCAAGACGTTAAATAGTCTTCCAGAAACACAAGTCTGAACGCAACCGAAAAAAACAACGTTCACGATGGGGATCGATTAAAGAAAAGCAAAAAGCACCAACAAAAGATGGGACAGGCTGATAAAAGGACGTGGAGCATAGATCTCACACACATGCATGGCAAAGGTCACATACCTGAGCTGCCTTGTAAGCAGCCAGTGTTGCCTCAGCAGCATCCTTTCTATCAGCGCCAGTCTTGAACTCAGCGAGGTAACGGTGGTAGTCGCCCTTCATTTTCAGATAGAACACCTTCGACTCAGCAGTCTTTGCAGCCGGGATAAGAGTGGTGTCCAGAAGAGACAAAATACGTCCGCAAACCTCGTCGAGCTCCTTCTCGATCTTAGCGCGGTACTCCTTAATGACGGCTACGCGGTCTTCATGTCCTCGGCTCTCCTCCTTCTGCTCGATCGACGACACGATGCGCCACGCTGCACGACGAGCACCAACGACGTTCTTGAAAGCAACGGAGAGAAGGTTACGCTCTTCAACGGAAAGCTCAGCTCCGTCGGTCATCTTAGCAACATCTTCAATGGCTTCCACCATTTCGTCATAGCGCTCAGCTTGCTCGGCGAGCTTGGCGCGATACACATTGTCCTCACGCTCAGAACCCATGGTAGCTTAAGAAAGTAAGAGGGTCTAGATCGGAAATACTCGAGGAACAGGCTCTAGCACCCTCTCTTGAAGAGCAGTGGACACAAACTAGAATGGAACAAACCTCATATGTGATCGACAAGCAGAAGGCAAAAGGGAGCAAAACCTCGCAGCTTTGGGGTAGAGGACGAAGGAGAGAGCAGGGGAATATAGCCAGCCATGCCAATGGGGTTGGGGGAAAGGTGGTGATGGGGAGGGATGGGGTGGTGGCGTAGTAGCGGAAGGGTGGGGAACGGGGAAATGGGGAAGCGGAAGGGCGGGAACGGGGGGGTGGGGGCGGGAAAGCGGTGGCGCGGGAAAATAAGGAAGCGGAAAGGCGGGGAAGGTGGGAAAACGGGAAGCGGGGAGGAGAGTGGGTGAGTGCGGCGAGATGTGGATTCAGGAAAGGGGAAATTCTTTGGTAAAATCAGACGAAGAGGGGCGTTGAGAGGTTGATGGGTCCCTCGATTGAGGGTTTGTTCTGAGGAAAACAGGCAACAACAGGTCTTGTACGATGGGGATTGGATGGGGTTTGCACCCTAGGCATGTGTGGAGGCGCAACCGCGCTCCCTCCTTTCCTCTCTGGCTAAACATCAAATGGAACGTTGCGTTGCGCTTACTCGCATCCGCCTGCGGTGGCGGAGGAAGATTGAACCAAGGAGTGGCAGATGCAGAGCTCGAAAGTCGGCCGTTAGATGCGCCACGAACACCCACAAGCCGAGAACGTGGATCTCTGAAAACAAGGAACAAAAAAACCGCTTAACGAGTATTGCGTTTTATTCACAAAATGTTATGGTATCAACTAAAGAGGTGCATGGGAGTGCTGAGGCCCACACGTATCATTTTCTTTGATTCGCCTGTATGTTATGGGCTGAACACAATGATGGTTCTGTAGAGGCAATTCATTTTTTGGTATGCCTGAACTAGGAAACATTGCTCCCACGCCTTCCTCCTGATTGCATCACAGGCACTGATCCATCGTTCCCATCATTATCGTCCCATTCCACCATCTCCATATCATCACCATCGCCACCTGCACCAGCACCAGGAACAGCAACCGCATCATCAGCAGCGCCAACAGCAGCAGCACCAGCAGGAGCACCCGCAGAAGCAGCAGCCGCAGCAAAAGCACCCGCAGCAGCAGCTGCTGCATCTGGTGCCGATGCACCAGGTATGCTATCACGAGCGAGATTATGTGTCCCAGCACCTGCTGGTGCTGCCACAGCTCCCAGCCCTGGAATCCTGTTACTGGCACCCCCGTCTGCCTTCAGAGTGTCTTCGGTCCTCAAACTTGGCCCTGCGTGCCCACTTGCCTTGACAGCACTAGCATCAGCATTCATAGCACCCACAGCACCATCAGCACCTGCTGCAGCAGCAGGATTGGTAGCAACAGCTGCAATAAGCACACCGCTTTCACCACACACCCCTTTGGCCTCCCCCTGGTTCTGTTTTTTCACATCTCCCCTCTCCTCCGCTCCCTCGCCCCTCTCCTTCACACCGCCACCATTCACCTCCATCACACACTCTTTATCCGCACTCACATCTCCTGCCTTCTGTGCTTTCTCCTTTGCTTCATCTGCCACTGTTTTCTCTGTTGTTTTTTCTGCCTCAGCTGCTTTAGCTGCTTCTTCTGCTGCCTTCGCTGCCGCTGCCGCTTTTGCTGCTTCCTCTGCTGCCTTAGCTGCCACTGCTGCTTTAGCTGCCTCCTCAGCTGCTTTAGTCGCTTCCCTTTCCTGACGCACAAGCTGCTCAACCCAACAGGTCAGTGCCACAAGTGGGAGGACGGGCAAACGGCGACGAAGAAAGGAGAACATGGTGGGTTGGTAATGAAGGGAAAGAACGTGAAGTTTGGGGAGTAGGAGGAAAAACGAAAAGCAGGCGCGAGCAAAGGCAGACAAGCAGGGGCAGCAGCGGCGGCAGCACCGGCGGCAGCAACAGGAGCAGCAGCAGCGGCGGCGACAGCGACAGCGGCAGCGGCAGCGACGGCGGCAGCGGCGGCGGCAGCAGCGGCAGCAGCAGCAGGACGAGCATCCTCCAGGACCTCCAATGCCCACAGCTTGCGCTTGCTCCCCCCCGCTCTCCTTCTATTTGAACGAGCAACCCCCCCACATCCACCCCTTCACCCCTTCACCCCAGGAAGGCACGTGCCTGCAGGGAGTGCAGGCGCAGGTCGCGGTAGGCCTCGGTCTCCTCGGGAAACACTCGGTCCATCTCACTCAGTAGCTGCGCTCGCAGCGCCTGGTGGCCACACGCCAGGCATGCAGGGCGGGGCGAGGACGGGTGGGTGTGGTGGGGAGAGGAGAGGAGACGCAAGGCGCGGTTGATTGGGTGTGCCATACGCTACTGCGTTCATGCTTTCATGCTCTCAAGCTCTCATGCCCTCATGCGCTCATGCCTGCATGCCCCCATGCGCTAATGCCTGCATGCCCCCATGACCCCCACCAGCATGCTGTCATCATGACACCCCCATGCATTCATCCAATGGCTGCTACCCCCCCCGCTGCCTCTCCAAACCTCCGCGGCCTTCTGCAGAAAGGCCAAGCAAGCAAGCGCGTGGAACTGCGTGGAAAACCCGAGTGTGGAAGGCGGGGTGGAGAGTGCGAGGGTGGCGGACCTTGAAGGCGTCGACCTTGCCCTTGGTGGTGGCGTTGTGCGCCACACAGCCCCGCAGCAGCTCCCTCGTCACCTCGTTCGGATTGCGCCCCTCGTCCACACACCTGCCTCGCGCAGGAGCAGCAGCAGAAATAGCAGCAGCAGCAGCAGAAATAGCAGCAGCAGCAGCAGCAGCAGCAGCAGCAGCAGCAGCAGCAGCAGCAGCAGCAGCAGCAGCAGCAGCAGAAGAAATGGCAGCAGCAGCAGCAGCAGCAGCAGCAGAAATGGCAGCAGCAGCAGCAGCAGCAGAAATAGCAGCAGAAATAGCAGCAGCAGCAGCAGAATTAGCAGCAGCAGCAGCAGAAATAGCAGCAGCAGCAGCAGCAGCAGCAGCAGCAGAATTAGCAGCAGCAGCAGCAGAAATAGCAGCAGCAGCAGCAGCAGCAGCAGCAGCAGCAGCAGCAGCAGCAGCAGCAGCAGCAGCAGCAGCAGCAGAATCAGCAGCAGCAGCAGCAGAAATAGCAGCAGCAGCAGCACACAAGGCACACACGCAGTGCAGGTCATGAGCATCATCAAAGCACACGTCTAGTCGGGCAAGATAGCGCCCAAGACAGACATGTCTAGTCAGCAGCACACAGCTACTCCTCATTCAACGTCTTTGCACCATCGCCCGCCTCCCATATTCCCCCGCGCACGATTCCTCATGGCATGGCGCCATGCATCGTGCGTCCTGTTCTACTGCTGCTGCAGCCGTGGCATGGCTGCAGTGGAACCGTGGCATGGCTGCAGTGGAACCGTGGCATGGCTGCAGTGGAACCGTGGCATGGCTGCAGTGGAACCGTGGCATGGCTGCAGTGGAACCGTGGCATGGCTGCAGTGGAACCGTGGCATGGCTGCAGTGGAACCGTGGCATGGCTGCAGTGGAACCGTGGCATGGCTGCAGTGGAACCGTGGCATGGCTGCAGTGGAACCGTGGCATGGCTGCAGTGGAACCGTGGCATGGCTGCAGTGGAACCGTGGCATGGCTGCAGTGGAACCGTGGCATGGCTGCAGTGGAACCGTGGCATGGCTGCAGTGGAACCGTGGCATGGCTGCAGTGGAACCGTGGCATGGCTGCAGTGGAACCGTGGCATGGCTGCAGTGGAACCGTGGCATGGCTGCAGTGGAACCGTGGCATGGCTGCAGTGGAACCGTGGCATGGCTGCAGTGGAACCGTGGCATGGCTGCAGTGGAACCGTGGCATGGCTGCAGTGGAACCGTGGCATGGCTGCAGTGGAACCGTGGCATGGCTGCAGTGGAACCGTGGCATGGCTGCAGTGGAACCGTGGCATGGCTGTAACTAACGCCTTCCCTCCACGCCTCCTCCCCTGCTTCCCTACGCGACCCCGCGCGCGCGTGCACTCTGGCTTTCTCTACGGCCTCGGTGGCAAATACCTGAAGGCTCTAGCTTCCTCTACACCCTCTGTTGCAATCACCTGAGCACGTCCAGCGGCACATGCGCCTCGCACTGTTCCGCTGCGCCGAGTAGTTCCGCGAACCCCGTGACCAGGCCGTTGCTGGCGCGGGGGGAGAGCGTTGGGAGGAGGGGAGGAGAGGGAGGGGGGGGGGGGGGGGGGGGGGGGGCGGGGGGGGGGGGGCGGGGGGGATGGAAGCGGGGAGGAGAAGAGAGAGGAGAGGGACAGGTGGAGCGGAGCTTGAGAGGCTGGCGAGAGCGAGTGGGAAATGGGAGATGGGAGTGGGTGAGAGAGCGAGAAACACGAGCGAGGGAGAAGCGCGCAGGAGACAGGTCGATTGGAGTCATGGACTGGCGTGCGTTGCATGTTGGGGGGCGAGACCAAGGAAAGCGAGGAACGCAGGAGATAGAAGAGGAGCAGAGCGAGGTAAGTAGGAATAGATACTAGCTGCGTCTCCCCGAAACGGACTAGGTGTCTTCTTCGCGTCCACTCCACAGGCTGCGCGAGGAAATTTATGGCTACTTGCGGTTCGCAGCGGCTGGCAGAACGCGACGCGCGAGAGCGAAAGGAGGAGCGCGACGGACATGCGGTCGAGGAGGAGCAGCTGGTTGGACTCGTGGAAGAGCGAGACGGTGCGCTCCAACTCGTGCACGCGCGACAGCGACCGCTCGATCGCCGCGCCCAGCTCCACCGTCGCGTTCGACGACGAGGCGGGCGCGGGAGGGTGCGGCGACATGGCTGTCCACGAGAAACGGAGTTTCTATGCGGTAGATACTAGTTGCAAGTTGCAAAAATGGCTGCGCGTAAAAAGAAGTGTTCAAGACAGGAGGTCAACAGGGCAAGGGAGAAGTTTTTTCGGTTGTGTGTTTCTGGTGTCTACTGCCCTCCTACTTTACATGTAGAGCTGATGGCAAATAACATTTTAGTACTGGGTTGTCCCTTATCGGATATGCAAGGCGTGACAGCAATGTGGGGAGAAGGCACTATCCCGAGATCGTTTCCGATACGAACGCGCCCTCACCATTGATACTCCGCTGACTCATTTTCCCGCCTTCTGGATCAGCGAACCTCGAGCCCCCTCGCCATAGCTGGAGCCTTGAACTCGACTGTCATTGGTTCGAGAATGAGCTGGACCTCGAATGTGGGAAGGGGGCACATTATCCGACGTGGTACAGCAGTAATTGATCGGTTATGAATGTCATCACTGCCAACTTGACAAACGTTGATTGGGCTCGGAAAAGGGCTAACCTGTGATGATTTGCGAGAGCGATTGGGAAGTGGCCTTGGCCGCACATTTCATTTACCTTCCCGTTCCGTCCCCCACAATTTCCGCGCTTTCGATTGAGTGGTCCCACATGTCCAACATCCACTAGTAACGAAGATCCAAGCTAGATTTCACCGAGCAGTCAAGCAAGGCGCTCTCTGTACAATTGATGCCTGAGCCCCTCCCGGTTGCCTTGTGAAGGGGGCGTATAAGCTGTATCGTGCATTTCGCATAAGTCTCGTCAATTCGCAGCTAGCTAAAAAGGATTCGCAGGTGCTTATATTAAGTATCTGTAACCTTATCCGTTGACATTCTGACTTCAGTCTCTTCAGTTTGACTTCGGTCTGTTTGTTACTATTGGTCCATAACCACGCGACGCGCTTGTATCGTGGGTGCAACAGGCTGGGGAAAAGACCTCGGGTGCAGCGTTTCCATCCGGTACAGGGCAAATTCGCGTGCACTGGTTGGGCATCATGTGTACAGCTCAGAAACGAGGAAATGGCTCTGAACACGCCTTGAGAGTCGATTGTATCAATCGCAAACCCCTTCACATGCAGCTGCAAAGAACGTTAAATACCTTCCTTTCTTTCTTCTCTCTCTCTGGCAGAAGCTCGATTCTTCTGTCGCCCAGATCCACTTGTCTCGTGATCTGCGTGCTGCATTCTGCGTGCTGCTCAGATCCTCGCTGCCCAGCCGCAGGCAGCTGCAGCCATGGCAGAGGGCATTGAAGCCGGCATTGGCAACGCCACGGCCAACGCCGCATTCCTAGAATCCTCCGGGCCGCTCGCTCTCCTCAAATCCCTCGCACCGACCCTCCTAGTTGCCGCGATCCTCGCCGTGGTCGTCGCGCGATGGTTCCGCAGCGGCGGCGGAAAGCAACCGCCCGTGGTCCCGACCATCCCGCTCATCGGCGGGCTGCTAAAATTCATGAAAGGCCCGATTCCGCTGATCAAAGACGCGTACGCCAAGTACGGCAGCGTGTTCACGGTGAACGTTCTCCACATGCGCATGACGTTCCTGATCGGGCCCGAGGCGACGACGCACTTTTACAAGGCGTCGGAGGACCAGCTGAGTCAGCGCGAGGTGTACAAGTACAACGTGCCCACGTTCGGCCCGGGCGTGGTGTTCGACGTCGACTACCCCATCCGCATGGAGCAGTTCCGATTCTTCGCCGACTCGCTCAAGCCCACGCGCCTGCGCACCTACGTCGATATGATGGTGGAGGAGGCGCAGGTGAGCGCGACGCGCCGGCGGGGATAAGGGCGATGGGGATTGGGATGGCGATGGGTGATGGTTGTGGCGGTGGGGGTGACGGGCGGGATCGGGTGAGATCCGTGTGTGACGATCGTGCTTCGGTGTCGTGTGTCCGGTTTCCGCTTCAAGTTTTGCATCTCTTGTGCTGGTCTCGCCTGCCGCCTTTTCCCTGGCGTCCTCGTTCTTTCTTCGCCCCTTGCGCCCTTGTGCTTCCGCATTTCTGTCCCCAAAAGCAAATATCCTTGCTGCTGGCTTTCTGGATCTCGATCTTGCCGCGCCGCCGCCCCCGTCGCCGATCACGCGTCGTTTTTCGCTTGTCGCTCGTGTAGCCCGTTCCGCGGATCGCCTTCGCGAGCTCGAGTATCCCGTCGCCATTGAATCGCACCACTGCATTGCATCCATGCGCTTCGTTCCGGTCCCCACACCCTCAAAAGAGTCTCACCCTTCATGCCCATTATCTCAGCAACCATTTCGCCCACTTTCCTCTCACTTTCTCTCTTGAACCTCGTCCCCTCTTCCCCCACTTCCCTCCCCTCTCTCTCCCGGCCCCCCGCCCCCCGCCCCTTGTCCCCCCGTGTCCCCCTCTCGTGTCTCCCCGCGCGCAGGATTTCTTTTCGCAGTGGGGGGACGAGGGCGAGGTGGATCTCAAGGACGCCATGGCGCGCCTCATCATCCTCACGGCCAGTCGCTGCCTGCTGGGCCGCGAGGTGCGTGAGGGAATGGCGGACCGCGTCTCCGACCTCTTCCACACGCTCGACCTCGGCATGCTGCCCATCAGGTGCGCGCGCGCGCGTGATGTGCGTACGAATGCGTGTGCGTGTGCGTGTGAGACCAAATGGCTGAACACAAACCATAAGAAGCAAGATTATTGGTGTAATTGATCGTGCGCGCCGCCGTGCCAACAAAGGGCGACCTGTATTGGTGTTACCTTGGCAGCGCTGCCGTCGGCTACTCCTCTTGCTCATGTCCCCCGTACCACTCCCTGCCGTGGACCTGCTATCAACAAGTCGAACAACAGCACCGTACAGGCCGGCTGGCTCACCGCCTTGTACTGCACTGGACCCTGCTGCCAACCTTGTCGTCGTCGTCGTCGCGCCTTGTCGACGCGACGCGCGCCACTTACGAGTCGTTTCCGCTTCCTCGTCCGCATACCAACCGGCCATCCAGCCAACGCGTCGTCTCTGCGCGCCGCACGCGCACTGCGTTTGTCCGCCGCCCGCGCTGCGCCATCGAATCACACCACTGTCGTGCATCACGTGGGCCCCACTGCCGTCCCACTGCTTCCCTGCTGCCTTCTCAATCAGAACCTCAAGAGAAGCGTCTGCACTGTGTCGTCTGTCGAAAGCATCCGTGTCTCCATCGCCATTACGAATTGCCTCCTCGTCTGCATCCTTTCCCCCACCACCACTTCCCAACCCACCCTCCTCCCCCTTCCCCCCACCCCATTCCCCCCCTTACCCCTTTCCCTCCCCCTCAACCCCCCTTTCCCCCCCCACACCCCCTCCTCTCCCTCTCTCCTCCCTTTCCGTTTTCCGCACTCCGTTCACCCGCCGCCCTTCGCAGTGTCCTCTTCCCCTACCTGCCCATCCCCGCGCACAAGCGCCGCGACGAGGCGCGCAAGGAGCTGGCGGGCATCTTCGGGCGCATCGTGCGCGCGCGCAAGGAGTCGGGGCGCGTCGAGAATGACATGCTGCAGGTGAGACGCGGGTGGAGTGAGGGGAGGCGGGTGGAGGGGGGGAAGGTGGGGCGCTAGTGGGTGTGAGGCGGGTGGCGGGGGAAGGGGAGGGGCGTGGGTGGGTGTGAGGCGGTGGGGGGCATGTGAGGAGCGGGCAGCAGATCGTGGCAGCGCTGTAGATTGGCCTTTCCAGAACACACATACCCCACCTCTTCCTTTCCTCCTCCACCCCTTCCGCTTCAACCTTTCTCCTTCACCCTTCACTTTTTCCATTCACCCGTTCCCCTTTTCCTCACAATTCCGTTTCCACTCAGATCCCTCCCCCATTCTTCCTTTCCCATCCTTCTACCGCCGTGTGCACTCCAATTCCCCACACCCTCTCCGCACCCTTCCCTTTCCATTCCCCTCCTCCCTCACACTCCCCCTTTCCTGCTCTAGTCCTCTCCTCCCTCTCTCCCTCACTACCTCCTCAACCCCTCTTCCCCCTCCTCTCTCCATCCCCCATTCCCCACCACTCCCCCTCTCCCGTTCTTCCCTACCTGGGCCTCAACTCTCCCCAACCCCTCCGGCTTTCTCACCTCCCGCTTCTACCGTACCCCCCTCTCCCCTCCCCAAGTCTCCCCTAAACCCCTCTCCCCTACCCCCCTCTTTCTCTACGCGCCCCCCTCGCACCCCCCTCCCCCCTTCTCCCGGCACGTGTGCAAAGTTAGCCGGTACAAGCTGCTCCCCCCTCAATCCTCCACCCCCCCTTTTTACTCTCCCGTCCCCTCCTCTCTCCTCCGCCCCGGCGCGCGCAGGTGTTCATAGACAGCCGGTACAAGCTGCTGAACCGGAGCACGACGGAGGAGGAGTGCGCGGGCATGCTCATCGCCGCGCTCTTCGGCGGCCAGCACACCTCCTCGCTCACCGCCACCTGGGTCGGCGCCTACCTCCTCACGTGCGCGCTCCGGGGGGCTGGGGCGGAAAAAAGAGAGGGGGGCTGGGGCGGAAAAAAGAGAGGGGGAGGGGGGGGGGAGGGGTGAACTGGGAGGAAATGGAGGGAAGGGAAAGGGATGGAACGGGAGGGACGGGGACGGTGGGCGGTGGAGGGTTGAGGAAGAGAGAGGGGGTGGGAAGGGGAGGGGATGGAATAGGGTGGGGCGGGATGCAGTAGGACGGGGCGGTGGCGCAGGAGGGGGATGGGATGGGATGGGATGGGATGGGATGGGATGGGATGGGATGGGATGGGATGGGATGGGATGGGATGGGATGGGATGGGATGGGATGGGATGCACTCACCTGCCCTCACTTGTCCCACGCCCACTCCTTTCCCTCTCTGCACGCAAATTCGATCACTCAACCCTGGAACCCCTCCCACTCCCACCCCTCCCATTCCTCAACCGCCCTCCTCTCCCCCGCTCCCCCTCTTCCCGTTCCCTCCCTCCTCCCTCCTCCCTCCCCTTACCCTCCCCAATTTTCCAGCCGGCGTGACGACATCCTGTCGAGCGTGGTGGCAGAGCAGCAGGCGGTGATGGGGCGGCACGGGGGCACGCTGAACTACGAC